GACTATGCTAATACAGGTTGAGTATCTCTTATTCCAAATGCTCAGGACCACAGTGTTTTTTATTTCAGACTTTTAAATATTTGTATATATATAATAAAGTATTTTAGGGATAAAATTCAGATCTAAATAAGAAATTCATTTATGTTTCATATACACTTTATGCACATTAGCCTGAAGGTAATTTTATACAATATTTAGTGTATAAGTAGTATACAGGCCATCACATGAGGTCACATGTGGAATTATACACTTGTGATATATCAGTGCTCAAGAAGTGTTGGATTTTGGAGCATTTTAGATTTCAGATTTTTGGATTGGGGTATCCAACCTGTCTGTCTGTACTGAGGCCTCAACCTCTAGAAATTCTAAATGTAAATGATCTGGGGTGTGTTTCAGCTTGAGAATTTTTTAAAGACTTCTCCAGGCCATTTGACTACTTTCCCAAGCTTGAAATCTTCTCTAAACTGTGCCATCAGGTTAATAAGTAGATTTTTAGGTCCATTTTATTACCTTTCTGTAGAAAAATCATAAAATTGATGGGATGGGGTGCAAAGTCATGTCAACATTGAGGGCACACACATATTTCACTGAGTGGGGTATTCCTAGGTCTGAAGGAGCCATTCTCCATGGAATGCTGGCTTCTAAAAAACAAATCTTTTTTTTTTTTTTGGTGCCAGGGATTGAACTAGGGTCCTAGGGTCCTTGTGCTTTCGAGGCAGGCTGCAGAACCACTGAGCTAAATCCCCGGCCTTAAAAAACAAATCTTAATGAGGACTAACCACCTTGCCTCCTCTTGGCCATGTTAGTCATATGTGCCTTCCCCAAATACTAGCCTACTTTCCAATTCTGTGCCTTTACCGAGATGTTCTCTCAGTGTGATTCTCAGTTTCCCAAAGTGTGAGGCAACTGAATCCTACAGGAAAGGATAGAGAGGAAAGGACTCCAGTGTTTAATGTATTCATGGGCTCAACAATAAATGACACTGTACAAGTTTTCTTTGTTCAATCCTCTTTCATTCTTCATGTCAAGACGCAAAGCTCAGTTAGAGGCCAGTCTTGCCAGCCAGAAGCATTGAGCCTAAGGCAAAGACTGCTACAACCATTCCTATACTATCTAGCTAGAAACTAAGAGCATTTCTTTGTTTTCACTGTGCTCTATGATCACCTCTTTTTCATAGCAAGAAATTATAGTTTCTCACCTAAAACTATACTAGTTCCTTTTAAAATTAAGTCAAATAAGAATAATACAAATATTTGTAGCAAGCAATAATAGTATAGATGAAATGTTATGTTCAAAGGAAACAGAAGACAGTTTGAGACAAACTAAAAATAGAGATTGTCTTGCCCAGTGCCTTTCTGTCTCTTGGTCACAGAAAATAGTTTCCCCAGAAAAAAGAACATGCTGCAATGCTACCGTACAAATTCACCAAAAGGGGCTCACCCATAGCCTACTTGTCATGTGACATGTGGCTGGCCTCTGTGCACCCACTTTGGCCTGAGAGTGTGGCCTTGCTATTGTTAAGACCCTATGTGGGGGTGGAGAGTAAGCTCTTCCAGGGTGCAAACCTCTCTCTCTCCCTCTTTTGCCTTCATAGCCATTTACAAAAGCTTCATCCTAAATACTTGTGGAATAATTGACTTTTGGATTGGACCCTATAAAACATGAAAAATAAACCTGCCTGAGAATGACTTTTTGTGCATACACATGTGTAATTGATATAGGAGATAGGGTGTGGCAAAGCGGGCTGGGGAAGTAAGCGGGAATGTCAAGTACAAGATCCCAGGACAACACCATGTAATTCCCTGGACCCCATGTGTGGAACTTCTTGTGGGCTCCCATGAGATGTGGACGACATAAAAGCGACAAGATGCCATGGGGAGTCTGCTATCGTGACTCCTCACAGTGGCCCGCTCTGCATCTTGCAGGGTGCTGTTTTATCCTTTCCTCTCTTTGTTCAGCTCAAGTTTGCTCTATAGAGCTAGTTCTTCCCTTACCCCTTCACCCCTTGCTTTTAAAGTAAACTTTTGGCACAGTTTTTAGCTTGTGTCATCCAATTCTTTGTTCGAGGCAAGAAGAACCTGGAATACATTTAATTGGCGAGCCATTTCTAAAAAAATACCCGGTAACGTAATTACTCATTGAATACAATATTACTCCCTTCTCTATCTGCAATACACAGTGCAACATAAAAGTACCCACAAGTTGGTAAAATATATTTTATTTGTTCATACAAAGAAACAGTATGAATTACCAGAATTTCATTTTCCTAGAAACATCTTTCTCTGTGTAAAATTAATTTGTGTTATACATAGGACAAAATACTTGATTTAATTTTTTGTACATATTGGCTATTCTAACATCCAGGTTATAGAAGATATACTGCTAGAATTTGCACAGTATTTTAGATTATGGGGCTGCATGAAACTCAGTCATAAATTAATGTTACAAAAGTGAAAGGAAATCTAACCACACCTTTAAATTGTATTAACCATTCTTATTGAGAAACTGAAAAAAAGAAACAACAATGACTTCCGCATCAGCATCTTAGAAACTTACTAAAGTGTTCCCAACTCTTTAGAGACTTTCATTTTCCTTTTTTACCAGAACATCCTGGCAGCATCTGTAACTGTGTTTCTCCAAAGGTCTAAATTTATCTGTCACTCAAAATGACTCATAAAGAGAATCCCATGAATAAGACAATATCTCCTCCTCAATCATCCAATTAAGAATTTATTACGTAGTCTTAAAATACCTTTCCAGGCACTACCTATTCAGTTAACAGATGACTATACACAAACACCTCAAAGAAAATGGTCAATAGATAGGAATTATCTCCTTTTTTTATTCATCTTTTTTCTTGTTCTTAAATGAAGAAAGAAACAAAATTAAGAATAAAACAGTCCAGTGAATACCAGAGCTTTTTCTTTAAACTGAAAGAAACCCAAAACATGTGCTAGAATGAATTGCCAAAACATGACATGGTGTTTTTCTTTTAGCAGCTAAAATGTTAAGCTTGATGGCCTTGCAGATGGCTAGCAGAGGAAGAAACCCAAGGTTCAGTCTTCTGTGCTGCCTGACTTCCCCAAGAAGAAGATATGCAGGGCTGTAATAATTATCACATGATAAGGGGTAACCTCGGGCAGACGCAACATCCAGATCAGTCAGGAGCTGTAAGCTATCAGAGCCTTCCAAGAGATACACGTGATGTTTAATTTATTTGTCTTCCTTGGACAAATTTGCCCTATTCCATCAGTGCTAATTATCAACATCTGTTTGAATTCAAGAACCTTGACCTAGAATAGAATTTTGAGCCACTTCAGTGTTCATGACTAAATGACCTTCCTATCTGAAAATTTCCTGTTTCAGTTTTATTTTAAAGTTGGGAATAAACAGTCAAAAATTGTCCAGTTTGGAAGGTCAGGGACCTGAAGGGGAAGGCAAAGCTCATATATGCTTCCCTCTGGTTGTGTTGCATAACCTTCTCGGAACTATTCTGCAGTTCTACATCATGAGTCAGATTAGACCGTGAGAGTGGCCAGAAAGTCAACCAGGCAAGACTCGGTGAAGGACTTGGATACTGCCTTCCTTCAAGCAAGGTTATGCTGTAACTGAAAAGAAGTGTTTGCACTTTGATTGCAAGTGAGCCTTCCAAACAGAAAATGCACAACCAATTAGCACCCTTATGTGGGTGTTATTCACACCCAAGCAGCAAGAGTGGAGAATGCACTATGATAACAGCATTGTCCTGAAGTGCAGGTTCCACATCATTTTGTAGAGACAATAAAAATGATCTATAAAATGGATATAACAAATAAGGAATACACAGAGCCTCTGATCACCCTTCCTCCCTAAACTCAACCTGCTCAGATATTTTTGCTGCTAAGGGCTGGGCTAAAATATGTGGACAGATACAAACCACATTATCAAAATGTCACTTGAAAGACCAGTAACATCTCTGGATTAGTTTCTAGATATAAATTATTTTCTCCTCTTTTCATATAACTTTTCTTACCCAATCAGTCAAGTTATCCTATTGAACATACAAAAGCATCCTTTGTAAATATCACAACTCAACAATTTTGATGATCAGGATATCTTCCCACATATCCCTTGAAGAAAGTATAACTCAAATAACAATTTTCTTGTGATCGAAGTATTCTGGTTTAGAAAGTTGAAATTTAACTAAATGTGTCACTATGTGATGCACTATATGGTTATCCAATTGCCACCAGCTGCTCATCATAGATGATCCCTATCTGTACTTCCAGCACAGAGGGATGGGGAGAGCCTTCTGCATAGTAGTAACAATGCTGCCAACCCTTCTGCCAAGACCTGGCTGAAACATGACAGCTGCACAAGTTTCTGGCCCAAGGCCCTACAGGACACGGGACTAGCTTTTGCAATATGCCTTTAAAAGGGCTACTCCTAGCTCTTGCTAGGTCACATGACCATTCTGAGAGGAGCTAAGAATCATGGTCATTCTGAAAGGAGCTAATAATCCCAAAGCAACAGCAGTCTGGGATTCAGGGAGTTCTTTCCTCTGCCAAGCTGCCTTTCATGTTTTAGTCTGTCTTTTCTCCTTTGTGAGGCTGTGAGCCTACAGCCCAACACTGACCAGCTCTGCACCTAGCAACAGCTTGGTAGATGCTGATGGCAAGAGATGCACCTGACCCCTATGGGACTCAATATCCATTGGGTTTGTGCCAGTGGCTCTGCAAGCCTATGGAATTCTTTGGTGTGTCACAGCATAACTGTCTACCTGGAGAAAAGAGTACGGTGCATGCTCACGCAAATTAGAAAAGATCATCGTTATTTCTAAAGCAGCACCCAAGCATGTGACCTGGGAAAGGGGCTAACATTTGCACACACATCGAGCTGTTAATGGACCAAGGAATGGGGCAGAAGGGGATGATGGGCCATCCTTCAACATCGAAGGCTAAAGGAAATGGGGGGCCCTGTCATTTGAACTCTAAAAGGATATGGATGACCCCACACAGGTGGTGATTCCCCCACACTTAATGGAGGTGAGGAAAACCCCCAACATGGTGGTTTGGAGTCTCCATCCTTGGAAATGATTATACACGGATAAGGAAGCTGCTAGGTGAGGTCTGACCTTCAGAATATAGCACTATGGAGGCAGCTCAGAGCTCTTAGGAGGTACACAAGCAGGAAGAGACTGGAAACTGGAACATGGAGACCCAGACACAAGCAGAGAACTGGGACAGCAAGTGAAGGCTGAATACCCGTAATAACAAAAATCTCAAGTTGTGCTTTTCTTCTTTTTAAATATAATGGGGAGGGAAAGGGGAAAAATGGAAGCACCATCAATTCTGAGGCATAGAACAAAATATCAGAATTAAACACTTTGGAATGTTAACAGATCATGAAGCTAACTCTTAAAGAGTGTGGCTAGGCAGCTTTAGTGAATTAATTGCTTATGAATTAAAAATAAATTATTATAAAATAGATTTCTGTACATTTTACATACATATACTCTCTCACAATATATAAGCCACATGGTAAATGTCACAGACACCGTCCATTCAATCCCAGCCAAAGTCGTGCCCGGTCATCTGGTAGAACTTGAGGTTGAAGGGCCGGTAGAACTCGCGCAGTCTCTGCACCACCTCGCGGTCAATCTCGGGGTGGGTCCGGCCCTTGGTTTTGCCCAGGCAGTGGGGCTTGCTGCTGCCCTCGGCCTTCTTCAGGCAGGGGAAGCCCTTGGTCTTGTTGAAGTAGAAGTGCTTGTCGGTGATGATGCGCTTGAGGCCCAGGAAGTCCTGCACGCGGCCCAGCTCGCCCGCCGGGTCGCTGATGAGCCGCTCACCGCTCACGAACAGCATCTGGCCCACGGGGAAGTGGCGCAGCCAGTGCTCCAGGTGCTTGGCGTAGATGCCGATCTGGATGGCGCTCCACGACGTGTCGATCAGGCCCGTGCTCCTGTTTTTGAACGTCAAGCTCTCGAAGGTGGGGATGTCGGGCCGCTTGGAGAGCGTCTGCGTGTAGTCCGAGATGGCCCTGGTCACCGGGTCCCGCACCACCACGATCAGCTTGGTGTCCTTGGACATGGCCGAGATGCGGGCGGGCGCCTCCCGCGTGACGAAGTAGCTGGGGGTCTTCTCCATGGTGATCTGCCCCTCCAGGGTCCTCGGCATCAGGTCCCTAAGAAAGAGAAACAAAAGAATCTGGGGTCAGGAAGTGCTGCCTCTTCACTCCTCCTATCAGGGTCAACACTTAATCTTGGTTCTTTCTTACACTGAGAAGTGTTGTAGTCATGTAAATATGCAAGCAGAATTTTACAGTTGAAGGTACATTAACGTCCCATAAAAAGTATGGTAACCAGGCCCTATCTACCCGTAATGTGAAGGCACTTTCATGCAAGGTAGAAGAGCCAGGTACAGTTTCTCTAAGATCCTGCAGTGGGTGTCATCTCCCCCTTATTCAATTTGGAGTATCAATATATGGAGGTTTCGGATTGCCCCAAACATGGATGTCAAATCACAAATGACTTTGGCCTCTGGATTTGTGCCGTCCCTAAACATAGCACCTGGGCCTCAGATTTTATTATCCTTTCACTAAACCTTTCACAGGCCTAGACAAATATGCTGTGGGTCCTGGAAAGCAAACATTCCCCTGGTCCAGACAGGTTGTACTGACTTTCTACCAGTACCCACTAACAGAATGCCTTTTCTCCCCAAAGCAGCAAAGCACCAAAAACTCTGGTGAATTCAGGTAAGTATAAACCCATACAAACACACCACAGAGAAATTCACAAGACATGACTCTAGATATTTCCAAATATACTTTAGAATCCATTAAAAAACGATGACTTAGAAGATACCATTAAACAGCATTAAACAAAAACAGTGGACTTTTGTAGGTTATGTTAACAACCTACAGTAGATATAAGCCATGGTATTTGGAGCAAAAAGCAGTTTTGTGGTAGCACATCACAATTACATTGATTACATGAATTAATGATGTGAGACTCTGGTTACCAGATATCAAGTCAGGAGAGAGAAGGAGATAGTAGAGGAGGGTGACAATGACAACAATACAATGACAACAACATAGACGATTTCCACATCATTTTTTGGCCAAATATTTACTTCTCAGTAGAACAGTCTAAATTTCCAGCTTACTATCCTAATCCACTGAGGGTGTAATTTGAGCACATATAGAAAAATTATGAAAAAACTATTTATCACATGAGCCAGAAAGGACAAATCCCTGGGAAGAGCAAGCACTTTTTTACAGGACATTCCTGACAGGAAGTGCAAAGGAAGAGCACTTTGTCCTCCAAGAAGATTCCTTGGCAGCACTTGTGGCTGTCCCTGCAAAACTTAAGCTGGATTGACCCACTTTGCCCATGAGCCACTTAGATTACAGTAGCAGTGTCATCAGGCTAATGTGATCAAGGATTAAAGAGAGTCGCAACTCTCAACTTATTTCGAATTTCTCTAAAAAGCAGGTCAGTTTAGATAAAGGCCAAGTTTCTCCCCTGTGTTAAGCTATCTGCAACTGAACAGAAAGAGAGGCTAATGTGTAGGATCAAAGTGCTATCACCGTTCCTGGAGGAAATCCAACCCCCAAAGCTCTCCAGGGCCATTGCAGGAGGGTGAATGAAGGGGTCTGTCGTCCAAAACAGTCTGACCTCGAATGCCCACATGGTGTGGCTCTTAGTATTACCATTTACTGAGGCATATGGACTCTGGATAGGTCACTTATCCTGTCTATGTATACGCTGTGGTCATCTCATCTGAACAATGAAAAGGCAAGGATGGATTTCCTCTCTAGCTTTGAAGAGGAACATGAAGCCAACCTTGGTCCCCAGCCTGATACCTTATCAGCTTAAAAAAAAATGTTATCAATTGTCTTCTGTTAATAGGATTATGGCAAGGGTATAAGGAAACAAGATTTGCACACAGGAGGCTGGGTATTCCAGCATTTCTACCCCACAGAGGAGCAGCAGGGAAGCTTGGGTCCCCTATGAGGATCAGTGCAGGAATACTGCATCTGACCTCAGCCTGGGGCCTACAACCAACCATCTCTGAGCCCTGCTGCCCACATTTCCTCAACACTCCTACAGAAGGGTCTGGTGGTAACTCAGCAGAAAGGCTAAACTGGTTATTGTGAATGAAGAAACCATGTAATAAGTTTAATAAAAAGGGAATGGGAGCTCAGCCATAATGAAACCTTCCTTCTTGATCACCTTCTGGCTGTCCAAACCATTTTACAGCATTAAATCTGGAGAAGGAGAACACATTTCCCCTTCATGGAGCAGGAGACTGTGAAGGAGTATGCCTACATGTGTGAGATAGGACTCAGCCTCACGACTTTCTTGGACTATTAGCAAAATAATGACCCAAAGGATCTCCTCCTGTGATAAAGTGTCTTCTGAGTCCAGTTCCAGTGCAGGCTCTGGGGCCACTCTCCCCTCTGCTTGGTTGTGACAATGAGTGTGCAGGAAATGAGATGCATCATGGGCTCTCTGTCATAAAATGCCATCTGAGTCCTTTTCCGAGGAGTTCAGGGCTCATCCAGCCAGTATTGGACTCAGACAGAGCCTGGTATCTCCCCAGAACACTCCTGAGATCCATTTGTTTAAAAAAATAATGACTTGATGGCATTAGTTAAATCACAGTAATGAAGACTTTATTCAGCCCCATCATGATAGGCATAGAAACTACTGCAATGGAGGCTTACAGTGGAGGACAGAGGTTGGACTTCACTCCAAATACATCATGGGCAAGCAGGAGAAGGGTAGGGTCAATGGATGGAAAATTACCAGGAGAACATTGAGTGAAAGGGGAATTCTGGTGAATCTGACAAAACAGGATTCTTGCTGAAGACAGGCCACGGTGACCAGACACCACTTGAGGGATGCTGGTGGGTAAGGAACCTCATCAGATATTGAGGGTGACCCGACAGCTGGGAGGTAGGGGGTCTTGCTAAATGGGCTTAGCCTTGTGGTTTTGTAAAATCTAAAACTAGATTTTACAAGGAAATGTAGAAATGAGCCAGGAAGAAATTTCAGGAAGGAGCCAGGCTAAAGTTTGAGCAAGCAGAGAATCTTTGTCACACCCAGTTGGAAACATAGCCTGGCCCGAAAAGTGTGTGGAGAGCTTGACATACAACCTTCTAGGTGACTGTAGGTAAGTTCCTTTTTTCCTTGGAGCTGCTCTTCTTCTACCATCCTCTCCCCACCCCACCGCCACCAGCAGGTCCCAGAGCAAAGTTCTTCCCATCAGCTTCCTGGGTCCACCTTTCTTTCTTCCCCTCTCCGATCACACTTCCTTGTCCTCACGCTCTCTGAGCTCAGCAGTGGCTCAGTGGAGAAGGCATGAGGTTATGGCTGAGGGCGATATCCTTGCACAGGCTGCACACCCATTCCAGCCTGGGGTGGCCTCCAGGATGTGGACAACATGCAGGATAATTGAGCTACTCATTAAGAAAGCCAGTTTCTCAAACAGCTAGTCATAGCTAATAATTATATAGTGCTTCAGAGCTTGCAAAGAAACTTTCACATACATTATCTGATTTAGTCCCTCCTCACAAGCTTTTGAGGTAAGTATTATAATCCTCTATTTACTAGTGAACAAACTGAGGCTAAAGGAGAAAGAATGATTCTCTTGGAGCTGGGTCACTAGCCTACAGGTCAAAGAGTTGGGACTCTTTTCTCTTTTCTTCCATCCATCAGGGTTGTCTCCCTGTCAATGTGCCTTATTTCTTCTTAATATGATCAGGAACATATACAGTACACACATGATCCCTTTTTAAATAGATACCTGTATTTTCTTTTCTCTCACACACAGATTAGGATCTTAATAGTAAGTATTTTCATGCTAATCAGATCACTGCCAATCATAATTGTTCAAATGTGAGTCAGATTTCAAAACAATAAACCTCTTTGGTTCACATATTCCTATTGTTAACTGCATTTTATGAGGCCTGGAAAATTACCAATCATTGCAACAGTGTCCCTAGCTGGGCCCCTTCCTCCCTTCCTTGCCTCATGAGCGAGAAAGGTTACTATTTTGAAAGCACAGAAAATCCTTCCATATCATTACTAGATGCTTGTGAAACTGACTTGTCCAATCCTATGCTAAGGAAGACTCATTGCTAAGAACTCATGAGAAGAGTCCCTTAAGACATCCTAGAGATACTAGCCAGGCACATGTGCCCACCACTAACTGCAGGGTGACAGAAAGCATAAAAGATCTGTCTTTTTTATAAAACCTCATGGGTGAAGCAAGTTTGTCATCAGTTAAGGCCTGGGGATGACAAACACAGTGACTTACAGGAACAGCCATGGCCTTGAAGAGCTGGGCCACAGAGCAGGATGCTAAGAGCCAGGCAGGTTTGGAAGGAGCATTTGAGGCTTTTGACTATTTGAGGATATTTACAAGAAAGTCATGTGTACCCTCCATGAAAGACAGTTTCACCCTGGTGTGTATTAGAACTATCTAGGATGTTTTCAGTAAGTACGAGATGCTTGCACCTTGCTCATACAGACTGAATCAGAACCCCACCATAGGACCCCAGCATGGGAATCTTTAGGTGACTGTAATGTGCAGCAATTATTGGAAACCATTACTCTGTGATTTCTATAGTTCTGGAACCATATATTTGGGGATTTAGTCCACTGATATTTGTGTGCACATAAGTAGAGACACTATGGATACAAAGGGCCACTAGGGTGGGAAGAGGGTAGGGTACAGTATCATAAGCAGAACAAAGATTGCTTGATTAATCTAAGTCTTAACTATTTGAGCCAAAGGCCTAACAGTATATCACAAAGGAATAAGAGTGTATGCCTTGATGGTCTAGAAATTGCAGAAACAAGAAATACATAATCAGGTTTAATGCAGAAAGAAGAAAAGGATGTTTCTTGTCTTTAAACACACACACACACACACACACACACACACACCCCACTACCTTAACAGCTAATTATGAAATACAGTTAAGCAACCAATAAAGCAAAGTGTGACAAAAGAAGCTAGAGGCCACTTTTACTCATGTGACAAAGAAAAGCTAACAGATGCAGCTAATATTTTCATCATCAAATGTTGGATCATATCATCCTAAGCAGACGAAAGAAAAACAGGTGAAGAATAATTGCTAGTATTAGATTATCTCATTTTTCAAAGTTTGTGGCT